CTTCTTAGGGACCAACTTCTTGAGCTCACGGTGGCGTCGAGCAGCTGCCTGTCGACGGAGTTTCCTATCGCGCGGGCGAATATAACCAAATTCAATCGCACAGTAGGCCAGCCAAGGGAATATAGCAGTCAGCGCTGCAGCGCCGCTTGTTGCCTCGTTAGCTGGGCAAACATTGATCGGAAGATTAATGTTTTGGCCGAGTCGGCTCCATGAAACTGTCATCATGATACCCTTGTCCGCGATGCCAATGCCGAGACCAACACGCGTGTACTCGCCAACACGTCGAACGCCCTTGATGGTCCAATTGAGAGACATGTCTAACCCAACAACACTCGAGATCTCGAGTCGAACAGCACGCGCCTGGTCCATGCTCGGCATCGGGAAATACCCTTCAGAGCTCCATTCAGTCTTGACCGGATCATCAGCGGGTTTTCCGGAGAAGAGATTCCGAGAGTAACTCAAGACAACAGCGCCCCCAGCGGGACTAGCCTGGAGATAGGTCTGCCACGACTCGGCAGATTGGTCGATATGGCGCTTTTTCTTGAGAAGATGACGGACATCCTCGTCCAATTCTCCACTCTCCTCTTCATCATCATCATCGAAATCGATCGCAGCTTGGCCCTGCTTGGGGAGCGATATTAGACCAATTTGCAGATTACTGACCTCGTTCACAGATGCAATGGCACTCTGAGCTCCCATTCCAAGTGATGGGAACCAGTTGAGAAGAAATTCGGGCCAGTCAACAACGCCACTGGACCATGTAATGACGGCGATCTTCTGCTTGGCGATTTCCCTCGAAATTTGGACCTCGAAAGAAGGCGCCGTTTCCTCCAAGGAGCGTGTATGTATACTGGTCACGCTGACCTGGAACGGCTTGGTGCCGGGGATTGGTTGGAAGGCTCGAGCAATACTCGCTTTCAAGGTTGGGGCAGGGAGAAGAAGAGCTGCGAAGCTGACTTGGGAATCCCTAAGGAGAGAGAAAGGATGTTTGGTCCAGATTCCCTTTGTGCCCACCAGGTTTTTGAAATTGGGAGTCACAGTGGCCCCAAATTGGAAGTTCTGAGCTGCCAGGATCGGTGGCATTTCAAACTGAAAAACGGTTAGCGAAATTCGACATGCAAACATGCCGCAAGTCGTACCTTTTCTTCTCCTTCTGTCCCATCCTCGTACTCAACTGTGACTTTCTTGACCGGGCGAGCCAAACCTCCAGTTATACCCGCATTCCAAGTTACCTGCATGTCCTCTGTTTCCTCGTCCTGCACCTGTTCTCCTGAATCCGTCTCCGTGTCCGAGGTTTCTGCATCTTTGTCTGCCATACCCCAAAGTTGTGGTAAAGACACCGGCGTCTTGAAATTATACGAAACACCATACGAGGACACTTTCGGTGAGGGTATATGGAACTGCACATCTTCGTCCTCGTCGACTGAGACCATAGACGACGCGTTGATTCCGAGGGTAATACCGCCCTAAGGTCAAACCCAATGAAAGTCAGCAACAGCCCGTTCGCGCAACTTCCCATAGACGGAAGATCAATCCAGAAAATACATACCTTGCTGGAAACCAGACTCTCGACAGCTTTCCGCTCCCGTTTCTTCATCGTCTTCAAGAACCAGCGCCGGAACTGATCCGGCGACATCGCCTTAACACCAACATCCTGTCTTTGTGCCTCCCCACCAATCCCCATGGCCCCAAGCTGGCCCCATTCCTGCCGCACACCCGCTGCACCAGATATATCATATACAACGCGCTTATTTGGATCAATGAGCGTCTCATACGCCTCCTGGATATGTCTGAACTGACTCTCGGCCGCATGGCGGAGATGCGGCGGCTGTTTGTCCGGATGGAAGCTGAGGGTCAAGTTGCGGTAGGCGGATCGGATCTCGGCATCTGTTGGAGGCGGACTGCGCGAAAGACCCAGCAGGACGTAATAGTCGGGTTCCTCTGGGTAGTCGCCGACCATGCTATAATCGGCGTCGAGTCCGTCATCTTCCACCGTCGCGCGGAACTCCTGCGCTCCGGGGAACTCCTGCGTCCCGGGCTGCTTGAAGGAGGACATGAGAGCTTTTTGCGCACTCTTTTTTTTCGGATCTATATATATATCCCCATTTTGGGGTGGTTGGATGAAATGCGACAGGGCAATGAAGCAAGGTGAAGTGGAGGGAAATGGGAATTCCGGAGAAACCTTCCGCATCCCCGTTGGAATCCCCGCTCAGATATGCTATGGCGGAGCATTGACTACATATATGTATGGAATGATATACTGTGGAGATACTTGCTTATTATCGAGTAGTTGATCCATACTGATTTCAAAATATGTCGAGTCTATAGAATATGAAACATTTACCCGTTGGCCGTTTGAACATAATGCCTTTGTTTTGTGACAACCCGTGACTCGGTTCCTATTGGCTTAGGGCAATTGGAGTGACTTGACATATCACTATTAGCATTAGCTACTATTAGTATGTTGGCATATTAACGTAGATACTATGCGAATCTAATTCATATTATATGGAGGGGAAATATCTTTTTCAATATACCCAAAAATGGGTGATACATTGACCTCACGGATGATATGTGCCAGCAATGTCTACCTAGGTACTCCGCACCGTAATAAGAATAGTCTATCTCCACTTAAGAAAAGAAAAATGCCCAATGGGGCTGAGCAAGTTGTAGAGCATGTCCGTCGAAAAGGTATTGTAGATCAGCTGAATTGTTCCAAGCCAGCTGCAGCGGCGATCATCCGGCTATCCTTACGTAGGGTTGAGGAGCAAAGCCCGCTAATACGTGCCAAGAGCTCGACAGTCAAAGAGACCCAAAACGATAACATCTCTACTCTGTAGGTCAGCTAAAATACCCAACTGAAGCTAAAGGTACCGCGTTGGGTACCTCCAGGGCTGGGGTAGCAGGCACAGGATCGGCACTTGGCCAAATGAGCCACGTCGAGCCTCAGACCTCCTCTTGAATATATGTCAGCCTAATAGAGTCATACTAATTCGTTGAACTAGACTAGTAAAAGGTGTAAAAGGTGAATTCTGAGTGTCGATCTATATTAGCGCTACACTCGCAGTACTTTCGGTGAACGTCGTGTAACCCATAAGTAGTAAGACCCCTCCGGTATACTCCAAAGTTCTCAATTCTTATAAAAGCTCAGACCAACACTTACTTGCCAAGCACCTTACTGCTCACTCAACCTCATATCTCCCACCTCTCTTGAACTTCGAAATACAAGCTATCAAAACAATCCCTCGACAATGACTATCCGCTTAAAAGAACTGAGCTCCCAACAACCTCCAGTATTCAGAATAAACCTCTCACACCCACCAGAAGAGCGCTACACAGCCCTAGCCCATCTGTACAAAGACCGAATGCGCTCAGTGACCAGCATATTCGACGACGTAATCCACAACCTATCCCCCAACATCCCAACCAAACCAATCCACTGGCTCGCCCGTCTATTCCTCCGCAGGCTCTACACAGACGAAGAAACGGCCGAGATTCGCGGCATCAGCCGTGTAACGGGAATCGATCTGTACCTCCTAATCAGTCTGAACGTGGTCCTGGATCTATTAATGGGATGCACAAGCGGCGGCGTACGAATGCTCGACGGACTCTGGACACGAATGGTTCATTTCCGGACCTTAGACTGGGGCATGGATCCACTACGCTCACTGATCGTGCAACTCGAATTCGTGAGCGATGACGCACCGGATAAAGTGCTCGCGACGTGCATCACGTACGTCGGGTTCGTCGGGATTCTCACTGGAGTGCGGAAAGATCTCAGCGTTTCGCTCAATTTCCGGGCTGTGCATGACACGCGTCGGAATACAGAGTTCTATTTCAATTATTTGCTTGTTTTGCTCGGTTTGCGACAATCCATCACGTCGCTGTTGCGACAGTGTGTTGTTCCCAGTGTGCAGGGGGAATCTACGAGACTTTCGAATACGTCGACCTTGGAGGAGATATTGGATGAAGTGCCTTGTTTGCGTACGACAGCTGCGTATCTGATCTTCTGTGATGGGAGGAGCATTGTTGCGATGGAGAAGGACTATGGGACTGCGTTTTGGCGCAGGTCGAGTTCTTTCCTTATCAAAACCAATCACGATGAAGATACCAAATCGGTCATGGATGAGGCTGTTGCGAATGATAGAGGATATACGGGTCTGCGTGTGGCAGATGGTATGCAGAGCATGGCTGAGATTATTGAAGAGAGTAAAGCGCGGCAAGCGTCGATGCAGGGGAAATGGGATCGCAGGGTGCAGGATCATGGGGTTTTCCAACAACTAAAGAGGCGGAGGATTGAGGATGATGCTCTTCCCCGTTCGATGCACTTGAAGTGGAAACGGAATACGAAGATGGGATGGGAAGATCCTGAATCGGAGGCGTCGGTTACCCTTGGGACAGTACTTGGGTGGCTCTGCTCGGACCCAATTGTCAATGAAGATACTCATTACGCGGTGTTGATGGATCCTGCTGAAGGCAGGTTTATCTATTCAGGGCAGTTTCCAGCTAAGGTGTGATAGAATATCATTCTACAAGATTTTGTAAACGTGTGAATTGCCTTTTGGCTTATCATCTGAGTCCACTAGAATTAAAATGATTGAAAAGGTGTTCACAAATGGAAGACCATGCCAATAATGTCTATGAGAAGCCGATATGGCTGTTAGTCATGTCGACCGTTTCGGAACGTCTTATCTGCTTGAAGGTTCTTAACCCTGACTATCATCGGAAGTCGCCGATCTCTAAGCAAAGTCAACTTCGGGAAGCCGAGATATAGACATCCGGTAAGGGCCTAATCAAACTTTTCTAAACTTCACATCGCCACTTCAAACAATCATCGGGCGGTCCCGATGATAAGTGTTGAGCAGTCAAACTACACACGGGAGTGTCAGTGAAGGCAACTAGCACTATAAATACTTATGAAAAAGATCCCGACATGAAGGGACTCAGGTCTTCGAGTGTTCTCAAACATGCGGTGCTACATTTCAAACCCTTTCCGCACGCTTGTGGGCGTGCTTGCCCTCGCGACCCTCACTGCAGCGAACCCGGTAGGGCATGATGTTGGCTCATGCCAATATACGACTGTCACCACTACGGCCACACTCGCTCCAACGGCGTCTGCTAGCACAACTTTGTCTCTGGCGACCGCAAGTCCAGGTACACCCGTCTCTCCAAAGGTCCTTATTATCGCCAATACGTTCGAGTTTGGCTATCTTGAGGAGTACAATTTTACAACGGCATACACGGGCGACTTGTTTGAGGAGGTCTTTGCCTGCACCGCCGATGGTACCGTCTGCAAGCTCGCCTGCGGACAGGAGCTAGTCGGGGCGTCGCAGATTACTTCCCTTTTGTTGATTCCTGGACTTGACCTCAGAAAGACGTACATCATTATCACTGGTACCGGGGGGGTAAATCCCAAATACGGTACTGCCGGAGGAGCTGCTATTAGCACATTTGGAATCCAATGGGAATGGGGCAACATGTTTCTGGGAACCGACCTGCCGGCCAATTTCTCAGGACAATACTTCTCTTCATATGCGCAGGATTCGCCGTCCAAGTACCCTTCCACCGTTGGAACGGAGGTGTATAAACTCAACGAGGCTCTTGTTGATCGCTTCTACAAAGTCGGTAGCAAGGCTAAATATGAGGATGTTTCCGAAGCTTCACAAAAGCTCAGGGCCACTTATGTTTATGAGGCGGCGAAAAAGGCGCCGTTCCTAGCAAGATGCGACACTGTTTCTTCGCAGATATACTGGCATGGAAACGTGGCAGGGGAGAACGTCGAGTACTACTCTAGTGTTATTACAAGCGGCAAGGCACGCCCTTGCAATACCAACCAGGACGATCAGGGAAGGCTGGTAGCGCTATTTTTGGGCGCGGTTCATAAGAAAATCGACTTTGGAAGAGTGTCAATGATCAAGGCCTTCAGCAATTTCGATCGGCCTCCTCCACAATTGACGGCTTACCAATCTCGCTTTTATGTCGGAGAAGGTGCGACAGAGCCTGGTCTGAGAAATTCGTGGAAGACAATTGTGAGGGTTGTGGACGATGTGCTGGACAATTGGGCGACTATATTCGAGGCTGGCATCAAGCCAAATACATATATGGGCGATTTGAAGGAGAGGCTGGGTGGAACCTCTGACTTCGGAACAACAGCCGGTGCTGCTCCTGGGTCAGTCCAGGGTGCTTAGCTACTGTGCTTGTGGGATAAGCCACGGTGGTTGAAAATGATTTTGTTCACATGCAATGAAGGATAACGCTGCCTGAGACGCGACTGTTTAATCGTGCAATAAGACCTCAGTGACCTCCGTCAATTTCTCCTTTATTTATCTCATTGGCTTCAAGCTTCTTTGTCTTCCAAGTCCGATAGTTATAAGTATACACGAAGAGCAGATAGCAGTAGCAGAGCGCTCAAAGCCATGAAAAAAGCAGAAAATAAATGACATACTATAATATACAAATGTAGAAAATATAGCTGCTGCTCGAAGAAGGCGAATGATTCAAGTCATGTAGATCACAATCCCGTCTATACATGGCAACAATACTTTCGAATCAACCAGCCAAACCGCCATCATTATTGAAATGCATCCATCACATCGTAACAGGGTAATAGAGAACAAGGTCCCCTCGCCACTGTAGGAACGTCAACATTGCCAGATCAATCATGTCGACACGGCAATTTGAAACTCGATCAAAGAGCAGGCCAAACGAATGGAAATAGAGCCAAGAGGCCGGAATTGTCTCACGGATCTCTAATCCAAGCAATACCACCCTCCGAGATGAGTGTCTCATCAAGCCGCAGAGCATTCAAAAGCACCTCTCTAGGCATAGAGCCTGTAAAAAGATCCTCACCCAGTGTTGCAGGGGGATGAGAATGCAAAGCGCCAGCATGGACCTTTGTCTCAAGGGGCGGGCCATTAAGAGCAAAGCCCTGTTTCTCAGCGAAGACGCTGCGCTCATTCAGGCAATTCACCATCAGACCCAGACGTCTGTGGAGAACGGTGCCTATGTGCAAAGAGCTATCCCAGTAGCGGCCGAGTTCGTGAACAGTGTCTAGTGCACCTCTAGTATAAGAGATGCACTCGTGCAACTGAGAGGCCAGACCAGCGGAGCTGAGAACATCCACCGCTGATAGGATCACGTAGCCGAGGAATGGGTTCAGGAGGGTGAATTGGGATATAGATGTCTCTGTGCTGTGCCGGGAAGGTATGATCTTTTTGGCGTATTGGTCGAATGTAAGAGAGATGCGGAGGATTTCGACGGCGTGGTATCGGGCGCGGTGGATGTACTGGCCTAAGATTTCGGGTCGGAGGCTCTCGTAGCGGGCGTGTCTGTATAGTTTCATCAAACTGGCGTGGTAGAACAAATGGGTCGAGATGAAGGTGTCTGCTTTTCTTTGCCGGATGCTTCGTTCTAGGTTTATGGGTGAGAATACCAGGTATTCGGGGAGTTGAGTCATCCATTGGTTGGATTTCTGGACGATAGTGGTGTGGAATTCTTCGGTGAGTCGATTGTATGCTTCCGGGGGTATGTGTGGTAACCGGGTTATATGTAGGGAGATCTCTCCCCAAATAGCCATGATCTCAATTAAAAAGGCCATTGGGCTTAGGGTGGAGCGATCATCGCCTGTGGAGGCTGGGATGTGGTTGAGGAATGATTGGAAATATGGGACTGTCGCGTACTGCTGAGTCTCATAGATTTCCTCTCGGCATGGGAGTCTCAGGAGGGCCGCATCTGATGAGATGAAAGTCGACGAAGCAGAATAGAGGCTTGAGAAGCGCTGGTCTTTTGTTAGTGACTAGGATTCCATGTTTAGTCTGAGGATGTGCGTATTCTTACATCAAGCACAAAGGCAATCCAAAAGGTTCGCCGTCGGCATTCAATCAAGGCCTGTGGATGTAACCCGTAGTCACACATTTGGTTTTGATCCACAACAACACCGCCAGATTCTACGTTGTAGCGAAGACCAAAGACCGCTCTTCCCGCTGCGCCTATCGAGTCCCATGAACCGACCAGTGACCCTGTAGCGTAGTACCAAAGACTCATTATAATATGGCTCTGGGCAAGTTGCAAAGAGAGGGTATGCTGGCTTCTGTTAATGGCGAAGCGTGCTATGCGAGAATATCGCCTCATAGCTGCCATTTTGTCTGGCCTGTCTGAGAAGACTGACCCAAGAGCCATCATAGAATAAAGGAGCATCTTGTCGTCTGCAGACTTGGTGGGGTAGGTCTTCAACCACGAGCCAAATCGTCCATGCGGGAACATGTGGTACAGACCGTCATTCACTTGCAAGAAATAACACTCGGTGTAATGAACAGCAGACTCTGGGTCACTTTCGTACGGGTCCAGGTGCCAGGATGCCGCGAGTGGGTCGTCCGAGTTGTTGTCCTTGAGTTCCCCCAGAATGTCGGAGTACTCGGGCGAACGAGTAGACTCGATATGTGCCGACGGTCGTCCAAGGGTGTCATCTGCGCCGGATAACGAAGGTGGGAATCGGTAAGATCGGGACCTTAAAGCTTTGTCTGCCTCGGTCATAGTTTCATACGTGGTTTCTTGCGCTGACGACGTGAGTATCGAGCCCTCTGACATCGGTGAATGGCCGGTAGTCCCAGGAAGAGAGGTCGCACTCTCCGAGGCTCGAGCGAAGTCGTAAAGTGACAGAGAAGCGTCCAGACCACCGTGGCTAGCGGGAGCATAAGGATCTGGTCTGCCAGATGGCCCTGCTGACCCTCTCATCGAACGATTCCCCCGCGGGCTTTGAGGGGGTTAGCAATGGTTCAACAAGCTAAGTCCGTCGACGCATATTCTTCAGAGATCACGATCACACTTACGCACTTTCGAACCTGCATTCACGTCCAGATTTCCGGCATTGATCACATACGGCCTCGGCGGTTGGGTTAGGATTACACTTGATCTTCTTCTCACGGCAGGTCAAGCAGGCAAGTCCAAGGCGCTTTCTGGGCCTGCCAGCCTTCGTTACACCCCAGTTTGCGTTGACTGGTGCGCCGTCGATGAATTTGGGACAGAACGATCCGTCTGCATATACAAAGCAGAGTTCCCCATCAATGACTCGTTCATCTATCACATGAGGCCGGAGGGGCAGGTTATTTGACCGATTTGAACTTTCGGGGGACGATAGCTCCCCACTTGGTACTTGACCATGCGAGGATGTGGTGTGAAAAGGTAGCTGGCCGTGTGGAAAAGATGCAGCGGATGGATCACTTCTTGTTGGTGTGTGGTTTCTTATACCTCTATGGCCATGCAGAGCCACTTGTGACAATGAAGGCAGGCCAGTGTGCAGTTGCGGGAGAGATTCGGAACGGCCTCTATCGGGTACAGAGGTTGGCGAAACCTGGAAAGTCGGGTCGTGATAGTGGGGCGGGTATGCAGATTCATTACGCCCTGTGTTGGATGTTGAACTTGCAAATGGTTGAGGGTATTGTGATGGACCGGGACCCGGTGTTGGAGTGAGTATTTGGCTCACGGAGGGGAGTTGCTCTGGCTTCTGGGGCTGTGATCCGCTGTCTTTGGCCTGGGGACTGCTTTTCTGCCGCGGAAAGGGATCAGATCCAAATTGTAAACTAGCCGGTACACGCGGGGGCGGAAGCTGGTATAGGGAGTCCCCGGATTCTTGTAAATTAGCTGAAAGCTCGGGTTGCTGCTCCGAGGATGGGCTATCTGTGGTGGGTAACATACGACCGAAGGGTCCAACATAGTAGTGTTGTGGGCGTAGGGCTGAACCGAGCCCAGATCCTGGTCCTGATCCTTGCGGGTTCGACATGGCCGTTGGATGATGTATTGGGTCGGAGTGGTTCACAAAATTTGACGGTCTACATAACAGACCCAGACAACAACCAGCGTGACAAGTGTGTTCGGCGGTTATGTACCGTTGAACGAATATAGTGCCAAAGAAAAGTCTCGACTGGAATGGTTTGGTGAGATTTTCTCTGGCCGGTCCTCGGATTCTGTTGAATTGTTCACGTCCCAGATAGATAGTGCACAAAAGGGGTATCTATTGAAAGGAGCCAGGCGACTTAGCAATGAGCTCATTTCTCCAATCTCCTTCTGCCGGGACACAGGCGCTTTTCACATACCAATTTAGCTTTTTCGATCTTCAAGGAACAGTGATACAATTGAGTAGAAAGTCGGATTGGATCAGGCGACAGCAAAGCGAAAACGGATCGATGATGTACGTTCCAAGTTCAGAAGCGAATGGCGAGCAGAAATGATGAGGGAGAGGGATTTATACAAAAGTTCCAGCGAGTCTTTGATGAGAATATTGGCGCTCGGAATAGTCAACTCTCAGCGACTTGCATGTGCGCCGGTGAAACTGAAAGGGAAAGAAATTGAAGCTAGCTTAGAAGGCCACCATCTCGCATTAGTCCCGGGCAGTCACGGTCTCAGTTGCATGGTTTCCGTGCCAGGGTGTCTGCAGTATTTCACTAGTTCGTGCCAACGTTCAGGGATTTTGCGAGGCTTGAGACGAGGGCCTATGAAGTTACAGGCTCACGGAGAGTCGGGTCGAAGTATTGGCAACGACGAAAGCCCGCTTGGAACCCAGCAGAGCACTGAACGCCGAGATGCTCGAGGATGTGGCAGAGCGGGGAAATCAGACGGCAGCCCTGGAGCGAGATCTCGATTACAGATTCTCGGAGAGCTAGGTAGCGGCGGCAACGTCTAGATCGACAGACCACCGAGGATATTGGAGGGAACAATGCTGAAGGCGTTTTCGATATCCGGATTCCGAATGGATGCGTGAGAGACAAAAAAGGAACCAAAATGACCCCGATAGTGATAATGATAACCGGAACAATCGATGTAGGCCGATGGTGGCACACGGCTTATAGGACAAAATAGCCTCGAAGTGTCGCCTACCACTGGTCAGTGGTGCCCTGGAAGGGGGGGAAAACGAAGGGAAAAAAAAGCCACTAGAAGTAGGGCCTAGTAGATTCCAGGGACTAAGAATGGAAATGGTTTTGACGTTCTCTCCAAGTGGAAACTTCCCAGATGTTGAGCATCAGCTTTCTCCCTCTCTCCTGCAGAGCTAAGGTTCCAAGAGATTAATAGAAAGAAGCCCAAAAATAAAATAAAGAAGAAAATAGCCTAAAGGAACCGAGGCTCAAAACAAAAAGAAAGTTCAAAATGGAGAATGATGAGAAAGGAGGGGAATTCAGGTATGGAGAGAAAGGGC